GGACCCCATGCCTCATCCAGCATGTGCCCCAGTGCTGCCCTAATAGTGCCATGTCTTTGGCCCCCTCTTGTAGCACCAAGAGGATTAGCTGTAAACGTGTGAGTCTTTCTTTGCCAACAGCCATGTGTCCAGCAGTTGGGACCTAGGACCTGTCACAAGGTACTGCATCTTTACATTTGTGCTGCTCWGGGGTGAAATCTTGGGTCCTAGAGACACCTGCTGCATGACTGAATATGGTCGGGGTGGGTGGAGAAATAGTTCTCAGAAAGCAACATCTTTCTGAGGGAAAGTATGTGCTGAGAGATAGCGGGTGAATGTCTCCCAAGAAGTGATAAACTCTAGCGACTAGAAATGCAGTTGAATCTGCAAGAAGTGATAAACGCAGGACACCATGAGTCTGCTGAATCTGCTGGAGGCCACCAGCAGGCTCCAACATCAACAGCCACTGCGACCAGACCGTGTCCAAGGAGGCAGCAACAGYGACTGCTCTGTGCAGACACATCATGGTATTACATCTGCACCCTGTGGAAGAGCAGATCCCGAGGGACTTTCTGAATGCCTTCCTAGAGGCCTTTGGGGCAACTGTCCTCAGGCACCCAGGGTCAACCTCCTGAGCCTTGGTGTCCCTCCATAGCTCTGAGATGACCCCTATGAGTGAGGGAGTTATGAGCCTTGTTATCTCCTGTTGGTAGTAACAGCTGGAGTCTGTTAAGAGCAACACCCTCATGAGGAAAAGATGTTCTAATAAATTTTGGCTCTGACTTGATCCCCTGAGAGGGAAAGGGAAAGTAAAACACCTTGCGTGGATCCTGTAGCAAGGTGTTTGTAAGAGAAAAAGCCATGTGGCTCCCAGCTACACCAGGCTCATCCGAGTRTAAGCAGCCAGAGGCACAAGTGAGTGATCACAAGAGTTCCTCACTTTAGGGAACTGGAAGGGATGAGGAGGCATCACAGATGAATTGTGAATTGAAACAAGAAGCTACAAAAGCACTCAGGTGGCCTCAGTAGTAAGGGATGGCTCATTGGAATCTGCAGGCTGGTGGGCCTTGACTGGTGGTGCTAATGATGCCTTGAACAGGAACATCTGAAGTGACAGTGAGCTACAGGAACCTGATGTCCCTTTTAGTATGGGTGTAGTAAGGAAATTCTAGGTTACTATTTTCACTGCTTAGCAAGAATATTTATTTTAATATATTTTTATAATCTTCCTAACATTGGATGGGAGACAGCACTTACTCAGGGTTCATTGGGCATTGGGTAACAGGCTTATCTTCCCCAATCCATCTTTCAATTTTTATATATTTGTTTTTCTTAAGCTACACAAGAACTGAAAATGCTTATAAGGGCATTATATATATACTGCTTTTCCTGAAGCCCTTCATAAAACTTCAGACAGGTTAGTACAGGATGACATGGAAAATTAAGATATTACTAGATTCTCCACTTGAGGGCAACACTACACTGCTGATTTAGGCATTGCCTTTCAGTCTTTAATCATTCCTTCGTGAAATTCATACCCCTGGCCAAACTTGCAAATGTTTTACTAGACAACATCCCATACACTTATTTTCTCCATCCCTCACTGACTACCATGCACAAGCATGGATTTAGAACCTGTTTTATTTCAGCCTCACAAAATAAACAGCATGTTCCAAGTGCTTTGCAAGTGTTTACAAGCCAAGAGCCATGGTTCACAAAACACTGCCATTGCTCTGTACCTGCTCAGACTTACCTTCATTCTGTCCTTTAGAAATCATATAGATGTAAGACTTAAGGATAAAAATGCCAGGTCTGCCAAGAAGGACTTCATATTTAGTTACTGTTGGCTTCTTTTCCCCTGCTCCTCCATCCCTTGCTCATGATTTAAARAAATAAAATAAAAATAAAAAATGACCAAATTTGCAAGGCCCCATAATTGCAGCTTTTAAAATAATCTCCAAGTTTCTGTCCAGATGCTCCCAGACCCCAGGTACCAGGATGGGCCAGGATGGAAGTTGTTTGGGAGGTTTGTTGGTTGGTTGCTAGCACTAACACCAGTAACATTTCAGACTACTCCTCACTGAGGGGCTTTGCTGCTTAGTTTAGGCATCTTCTAAGGAGCCAGTTGTATTAATGCTAAAATGCAAATTCAAGGCACTGCATGGCTTTTCTTAAAGCTTTCCAATTCACTTTGATTGTCTGCTTTAGAGCAAAAGGTAGACTTGAAACAAGACTTCAAGATATAGTGGACAATAGTTACTGGGGAGAAAAGCAAAAGGAGGAACTCTCTGCACAGTTTGTGTGATCCTGTCACTGTTGATGTTAATGTCAATGGTTCTGTTATGGTTTTGTAAGAATCCTTTTAAACCATATGTTTTATGCTTTTATGGTTAATGTTAATGGTTTTATAAGAATCCTTTTTACCAACATGTATAGGAACAAAGTCCCAGAGCACCACCAGCCAGGGGCAAACCAGGCAATATCTTGCAACGACTCAGTTCACGAATAAGTCTGTGATAGTGTAGCCACCAGCAAAGATGCAAGGATCTGTTTTCCTTTTCTTTTAAGCTACGTGCCTTCCTTGCAGTGCTGATAATGCTACACTGGTAGGTGAGCTGTGCACAGCATCACTTTACACTTTGGGAAACAAAAAGAAATGACTCCAAATCCAGCCCTGCAGTTCTAATAAAAGTATTGCTTTACCTGCATTTTTTGACACCAATGAAACTGCCAAGGTTTAAATCTGGAAAGGGCTCAGGTGGCAAATAACAGCACCCCAAGCACTCACAGCAGTGCTGAGCACTGAGGAATCAATACCTGGCCACGTTTGAGAGGATCTAAACAGTCCATGGGAGGACAACCAATACAGATAAGGACCATCAGCTCATGGGAATTCATGGTGAACTAACAGATTAATAATGTAGTTTATTTCTTGCTTTTAGAGTATGAGCAAAAAACTCAGAACAACCCAAAGGTGTCTGAGTGTCAGCACCCATCACTGCCCTGCAAGAGAGGAACTGCCAGGGCTGGGGAGGAAGGGGCTTTCCAGCTCTCAATGGATCGTGTCAGTCACAGAAAACAGAAATCCCAGAACCGAGGATTACAGAGGCAGAAAATCAGAGCGGGGTCACTTCCCCTGTGGCGGGTGACGTTGCTCTAATACTGCTTCCTGTAATCCTCAACAAGAACAAAAAGCCGTTTCTTTTAAGTCCTCTGCAGCGTGGTCTGAAATCATGCTCTGCCCAACCTCACCGTCAGAAGAATGAGGGACAGCAAAACATGCTGCTGGCAACAGCAGTTTACTGGTATGCTTAGTCAAACATTAAAAAATGGAAATTAGCAGTAAAAATAACTTCCAGCTGCCAACAGTGACCTAGGCTTTACAACCACATAATGCTGGGCACGGCCATCGAGACAGCCATCAGCTGTCTGCTCCGTGCGGGAGCCCATTTTGGAGGCTAGAAACGCYCCGTTGGCAGAAACGGAACCACAAGGACGGAGTCCCCTCTACAAATCATCACTGAACAATGACGGGCAGCAATTCTGCTCCTCTGCTTCCCAGTGAAACAAGAAAACTGACGGGTCCCTGACATGGTGAGGGAGTAGCCCCCAGGTAAACATCCCTGGATGATGCTCTAGGATTCCCAGGGTTCAACTGAGCAAGAAGCCAGAGCTTAATGACTTAAAAAGAGAGAATCTCTCCTTTCTAGCCTTAAATCCAGAGCCACCTGGGCAATGTCCTGGGAAATGTGCTTTAGATGGCCCTGCCTGAGCAGCGATGCGGTTGGACCAGATGATCTGCAGAGCTCCTGTCCAAGCAGATCCTTTGTCCTCTGCAAACTGCGGTCCTCCCCCGGGATACGCTCATTTTGACCATTCAGGATTGGCAAAAGAAGCGTTTCACAAAAACTCCAGAATTCACCAAGGCAGTGCGGATTGAATGAAACCGTCTACCAAGTGAAAACCACCCACCATCCTAAACCTGGCGAGGACAGACCAGTCTTCAACTCCTTCCTCTCAGGTAAACGGTGCTCCTTATACCTGGATTTGCTTTTTAAATACGTAGGACTTCTGATGGAGTTATCTTCACCACATGCATCCCTCCCACAGAAAAGATTTATGGAGAGGGTCTGAAACCCCAATGTAAGGGGCCCTGTTTAACTGAGGGGAGGGGATTGGGTGCCAGCTTGTGCTGGTGCTTTCCTTTGGTGAACGGACATGAGAGCAGGATGACAGCGTCAACAGACCCTGACACGGAGAAGACTTGAGWCTGCAGCAGACATCAGGGAGGGATGAGCCCTGAGCAAGGTGAGGCAGCGCCGAGAGGAAAGCAAGGAAGGGGSACAACCTGGAGACCTCATCCTGCATTTCAGGAGCTTTGGGCTCTTGAGCAAGAGCCATGGTGAAAACGGGCACCAAGGGCAAAGCTGAGGCTCTGAGGAACAACCGTGACCACCAGCCTAGGAGGTACCGGGGAGAGGGGGGAGCTGTGGGAGTCGGGTCCCCGCCTCGGGCATCCGCAGGGCAGTGCGGCCCTCGCAGGGACCAGCGGGCCCGGGCGACCTGAGGGCGCCGGCCCGGGCGGGAGCTCCCAGGGGGGCCCAGGTCCCGGGGGCTGCCCCGGGGGCGGGGCCTCCGCTTCCCGCCAGCAGTGCGGCCCCGCCCCGCCTCGGGCGCCGCCGCTGATTGGCCGGGAGCGGCGCGCCGGGCGGGGCCGCCGGTATAAAAATTGCCGCGCTGCGCGGGGCGCCAG